ACGTTAGATGTGGTACGGCTCATGGTATTCACCGCGCTTCTATCACTGTGTAAGAAAATCAAGCCCAACCGCATCTGCTTTCTAGCTTTAAGCAATGTTTTCATTTGTGCGAATCATAAAATCCCGTTGCTCGATCGATTAATTACGGGACGTTAAACTTCGGTTGTTCTACTGTTGAAAAACTATTTCATCAGACTTACCCAGTTTACCAAGTTTTGCAGGAAACTCTTCTTCCCTGACCATGAATTCTGGTTTTCTTCCGTGAGCCATTTTTCTTCATGTATATTTTCTAACCAAGTTATCTCAATCCCCATCCCTGAAGAAGTTACCTTGCTGAAGTATCTGGACGACCTAACACTTGGTATCGATCATTTAAGCCTCTAATCATCGGCCAAACAACAAACCCTCTTAGACAACATCACAGCTTGGCCCGAATCCCGTTGCCGATCGTTGAACACCTCAAAATAAAAGGATGACCTTTTTGCCAGCAAAATCCTGCCGGCAAACTCTAACGCATTGCCCGCAACGTTGCAGTGGTAGTGAAGATTTGACCAATTTTACGCCAGCAAAATACTTGCAGTAACACTGACCAGTGGACTTACGTGGTCCCTTTACGTGAACGAAACATTCACCAAAGTTAGAAGACTCTCCTTCAATGTTACACGTCTCAAAGCCTCTTCCGTAGTTTATTTATTGATTCAGCGTATCAGCATTGCATGTGTGTTACCCTGCTTAATGCTCTTCCGTGATCTTTCCTGGTCTTCTGCGTAAGAACCTCAAAGTAATGGCTAGCTCAGTGAAACATCGAGTCAGGGGTAGTGGCATTTCAAGAGCGGAAATTGTTAGCATCATTGCGTCCAGTCATGTCAATGCTTATAACAAGCTTGCATTTAAAAAGCTCATTGACAAAAGCCACCCCATTCACAGGGAGCTGTCCAAATGTTTATCAATCTCCGCGACCAGACAGAGTTATAAAAACAGGAGACGCCCTCACAAGGGCCTATGGTGCATTTGTCAATCCTTGTTTGTCACGATTTCTGACCGATCGACATTCAGTCATTCAAGTATTGGTTGTATACCTACCCTCATGTACCATACGATTTCGTTGTTTATCCCTGTCTTTGGCGTGTGTTAGAGCTGAATATTCACATTTCATGGGCGAATAACGCATCCTTGACTTCACTTTACTTGGAAGTTCTAGATCTTGTTTTATTTAAACTTGCCGACTTTATAAGTGATGTTTAATACGGTACATCTCTGGGTGCCAGTAATCATGTATGCACATCCTTTCGGTGTGTTCTTTTTAGGCACCAACAGATTTGCGTTGAGTTACATTTAAATATGCAACGGGCAGATTATTGTGCAATGCTAGCTAAGCCTACGATTATGAACTGTGAAATCTCGATGGTTGAATCTGTCTAGTCAGTAGGAAAGAAGCTAAATCATGTTTTGTGGAGGTTTCCGTTCTCTACACTCCATTCATGAGGTAAAGGGATGCAAAATCACAGGCTCCCTTGATTGATTCCACGGGCAAATACCTACTGAAGAAGTAGTCTAAGTTAGAGATAAGTGGCAGCAGCATCTTAGGACTGCCCACATTGAGTATGGGAAGAGATTAGCTGATTCGGTTGCAACTGATTCCAAATTTTTTGTCTATACATAAGGAGGTGCAACGGTGCAAACTTACCTACACCAGCATTACTTCGAGCAGAAGTGATTGATGTGCACACCGACTATGATGTTGGTTGTATGATTTACGAACAGTATAAAAGGGCCTTTTCATGTGAGATCTATTTGCCACAGGTTGAACTGGTTTCAGGTGTTCCGGAAAACTCCTACCTAGTATAACAGTGAATCAGGTCTTTAGGCCCTGATTCAATTTATACGAAGGATGTTGCATGAATTAGCCGCTAGGTGGTTCTGTTAAAAGCATGTTTTCGAAATTGCTTAACAACTGCAGCTTAAAGGTCTACACGTTCGGGAGGCTATAACTACTTTCGTTTAGTCTTAGTTAAATTACTACGTCCAAATTTGTCCACCGTGTCTTGCTGAAGACAAAATGAGCTTAAAGAGGTTCTTGTGAGTTGACAGCAGGTTAGTGCAGTACTTAGGGGACAGATGTATCCGGAGAGTTTGCTTAGTTTGGGAATGTACTCAATGCACTACCAGGGGAATAAAAGGGATCGGAACCTCAATCACTGTATTTCGACAAAAACGACCGAACGAGACTTGTCTTGATTATTTAGTCCCAATAAATTAACTAGTTTTCGTAGTAAATCACTGAAGCTGTACAAACCGCACCTTGAGAGGATTATGACGAAATCGAGTCAGTCGCGCTAAGCTATTGTGTACTGAAACTCGATTTTTGAACGCATGGATTGGAAGCCAATGGTTAAGGTCTTCGAGCATCATCTCGATGCTCTTGGATAAGGCCATTAATTTACTATCTCCTAACTCAATTCTTCAACTTCCTATTTTCCGCTTATGTTATGCTAAACGGTGCTTTAGCAGAGATATTTACATGATAATTGGTATACCTTCATTTGGTTGCAACTAATCGCTCGCCATAAATTTACGTCTTCGGCGCGAAGCGGGAAATTCGAGAAATTAAGTTTGTACATTGAAACCCGTTTATCCTTCCAAAGAAGAACATAAGAAGACGAAGATTGTGGGATGACACTGTTAGAACGACCTACCAGTGCTCGGGCCGGTTCGGTGTGTCCGGATACCAAGACAGTCACAGATGTATGACTGCCGATGATCAGGACCTGTGGCGCTTAAATGAGTTGGCGTGCATGTGAGTAAAAGAGGACAAAATGGGCTTGCGCCAATTGCAAACGAACTGTGGGTTGGCAGCGGGCCGAGTTGGATACAAACAAGATGTCATGAGCGACGCTCCACTGAGGGCGCTAATACCGAAACACGACTGCGGCAACTTTGTTACCAATTAAATATGCATTGTCAGGTTACAGCAAGCGGCACTTGCTGTTGGGCTAGTATTGAACTGCTGTGAATAGCAAGTGCTAAGGTGACAGAATTCATTCCTGACGAATACCAAAGTTGGTGCTTAGTGCGTAGCAGCATTTGCCACTGTCTCGTCTAATCTGAGCTCGTCCAGCAAAAAATCACTCAGCAATTGACTGATAGGGGATGTATTCCTGGAATGACAAGATCTTTCGGCAGCATTACGCGATTTGCGCAGCAGAATACATTGTTATACTCAAGAAAACACGCATCAGTTGATCTGTTTCTGTTGTCAAGTGATGACCGTATGGAACATATGAGGCGGACCACTGCATTTACAGTAGATCTCGAACTAGGATAAGTGATTATAAGGGGGTCATTCGAGCGGGTTTGGGACTGCATCACTTCAAGACTAATTGTTGCTTACAGCTTCTAGGCAATAAAAAATCAAAAGACAGGTCAAAATTTGTTGGACCTAGTATTGATGTCGTTCCAAAGAATATACTGGATATACACAAGGTGGAGACGGTGAAACGTTTCCTTGGTACGAACAGTGAGACGTCGCTAAGATGCGGTAATTTTTTTGAACTTTCTCTCCTTAAGTCGACACAGCCACTTCAGATGGAGGGAAGAAACTGTTCGCGCGGACGTTGAGAGGCTCTCACGGACAGCAGATGTCAAAACAGAAATTTAGCTTGCCAAGCAAGTTGTTACAATACTTGGATACGTCAGCGTCAAGGAGTAACAAAAGTAGTTGCATGAAACCATTCCAAGTCGATCAGTCGATATGTTGTGAAGAGCACTGCCTCTACTTGAACCTACTTACATCAACTCAATAATACCCCCGCAGAAACTACCCTAATAAAATGTCCTGACGACATCGTTCTGGGTATCAGTTATCGAAACGTCGATTGCTCTCTGAGGTTGCAAAATCATCCGAATGACCTCCATAGCTGGTCCAAAGCTCGTCATCTGTAAGTTAACGCATCCGAGTGTCATGATACGCTTCTTTCACGACACATAGGATCCAGGTACGACCAGGTCCCTATACAGTACCCCAAACAACGTAGTGTCCGTGATGAATTTCACTCAGCTACCTTATTGAAGTACCTAGGTATAGTACTTGAAGTGTTGCCAGGTGACCGATTGACAAACCTTATGTGCACATACGACATAGTCCGTTTATGTAAGCAAACTGACTCGACTGAAATGTAACGCTGCACTCCTCGGCATGGTTTTGCATCTTCACGGTGCGAAGTGTTGTGACAGCATTGGTCTGATCAGCCACCTGTACTGGTTGTCCTTATAAAGGGGGAACTCCAGAGTCAATCCAAAGGGTATTAAACGAAGAAAAAATATGGATGATTTATCAGAAGGGCCAAACGGTCCATTCGACACGGATGCATTTGAATGGCTCACTCCCCCAGATAGGAGGACACAGAGCATGAAATCGATTCGCATAATGTCAACATCTTTAGAAAGAGTATGTGATCCCCACCCCAAAGGCTGACTGTTGAGGCGTCGGAAATTGCCAAAACGCCCTGTACAATAACTATCTGAATAAACTGTCTCAGAACCGAGCATTTGTTGTTTTTATTTAACAGTGGAGTTGGGGTGATTGGTTTCTTTCACATTGCGTCATGTGAGTAACTTTCATCTTCATCACCTCAGCATTTTGCTATCTAGCATCCTTTTCACAGATTGTCCATGAGCCCGCACAATCATCAATTAATCTTTCGACCATCTTAGTTTCTAAACGAACAGTTTCCATGCGGCGGTGTAGGTTGCATAGTATATTGGCGTCTCATTTATACCCTGGTTTATTCCCCAGTTGTTTGATTTTAACGCTCTGAGCCCGCTGATGCTTTACTGACGCAAACCTCTGATCGCGCACCATGTTTTTCCTCTGTCTGGTAAGCTATATAACGGTAAATCTTCACTCATTTTGATAGTAGCTATACCTGCATCTTGTATAGTAATTCGAATCACCTCAAAGTACCGTCTAACCCTCGTCAACAGAACATTGTTCCTTTTTAGGTCGAGTGTACCAGACCTGAATAGTTGTGTTTCGCGAATATACCATGCCTATGCAACGTTTGTTCGTCCTCTTCACACATGCGGTGATGAGACAGGTTGCACTGTAAGCTCCATCGAGGATGAATTAACCCACTTTTCAGCCACTGGGACTACTCCAGTTTGTATTAGTATCCTTTGTGCTGTGCTCACCTTTGCCTTATTTTCACTCAAGTGTGCACGTTTATTTCCATCGTTCTGTCTATTGGATCGGTTTCATCTTCCACTCGTACCATTGTGCACTGCAGTAGCGAAGGAGCTGGGTACAATGTACAATGAAAAATTGCCTATGGACTTGAAGAAGTCGGCTTTATTGGAAAAACGCTTAAATGTTAGAAGTACCAAAGCCAACAGTTTGACGAGTAGAAATGGTTTACCGCAAAAGGTATACTTATCATGTTTCTGGTTAAAAAGTTATTATTGATCTTACAAAGATGCGAACCAGCGACAAAACTGATGAGAGCTTAAGTCTGGGGATAGGAAAACAGAACGCACAGAAAACTGACAGCCCTTTGATGTGCGATGCTTGCGGATATTCTCGCAGTGGATCATATCTTATACCAAAATCCATGCACTATGAAAACTTGGAAACCAGTAAGATGACATTTATCAGTGCGTAAGATTGCATATAGGTGAAGGGAGCACGATTAGTTCGGGAAAACTTGACGATCAATTTGAAATGTCATCCATTTGGCCAGATAAGATGCAAAAGCGATGGTACTATAGGTAATTTCCTTAGGTTACTGGATCTTTTAGGACGTATATGATTTTATTTAGTCTAACACAAAAGCCATGATAGCGTTTGGCAGCGTTATAGCTTCCGCTGAGTAGAATTGTAGCACCCTACTAAACCATCAAGTCTTTGTGATTTTTAGAAGCAGTGGCTCAATGTATCTTGTAGCCTGTTCTTCATCTGTTTTAATGCTGAGAATTAAGACCGACTGTAATCATTATCATAGCATCATCCCACTGTTCTATATGGCGCTGAATTTAGCAGTCAGACGAATAACAGGTAAATTAGCACACCTTATTTTCAGCCGCAGTGGGTGTCATGCTCCTGTGCATAGTTTCGTTTCGACAATCCAAGTCTGCAAGAAGTTTATTGTTGGAGTCGTGGCATCGAAATAATTGGTGATTACAGGTGATTCAGCAAGCAATGGCAATAGCGTTGGCCGGTTGAAATTTTACACTACATGTGATACCCAAATTCTCAGTAGGTTTGTCTGGAATTGTTTAACTGTCTATGCCTTACAGCAATGATTATGTGCACTGAGAAGTTTCACAGAACCGCAAGCAGTTTAAAGTGCCACCAATCCCTTCCGTTTTCGGTGGGCTTAGCTTTTGTCAACCATCAGACTTTTAGCACCTGGTATCGTATTTATTGCTTCAAAAATTCCCATTTATCCCCTGTTTCAAGAGCTTGCGGAGAATTTAAGAATGACTATCTAGTGCAAAGAGTTTTGCTTGAGGTAAGCTGATTTACGTCCTATCAATTTACTCACCATCATAGCAAACTAACTGGAAAAATCTGTGGGGTTCAAAGCTACTACAATACATGGGTCGCACCCTAAGGCGTTCAAGGCGCAGTCCAAAGTAAAGCCTCCTTCAACGAAACCGTGGTTAACCTAGGTGAATGGATCAGCAGCTCACTGCTTGAACGCCTTGCAACTTTCAAAAATACATCGACTGGTCCACGCTCCCATTTTAACTTGCTGAGTCACCTGCGCCTATCCTGGTTGCCGATGTCAAATGTCAATCATCAGTCACATCCAGCATGAACCAACAATATTGAGAAACCGGACACCAGGCAGTGGACGACTTCATTCATCATTTTCCAGTGACGGTGGAGGACCGATTGTAACCGATCTTGTTACCATCTTTGGAGCCTTACCTTAATAACACTATTGGTTTTAGCGCGCTTAGACCAGCTTCCATTAGTGTGGTAAAAATACGAAATGCCTTGCACCTGTAATCAAGGAATGTTACTTAATTCCACTTTAGAGAAACATCAGCAACTCTCTAGTAAGAGAGGTGTGCTGGTTTTTGATCTAATAGTACACGCCCTGGCAACTTTTTACGTCTTACTAGGCACTAGAACTTCTACTTACACAAAACCGGCACATCATGCACTAACTGACAGTCATACACAACTTTCGGTCCGATGAATTTGCTTGATTATGATCTATACCTATTTCAGGACGGTTTGACAATGAAATATGATGGCATGTAGCACAGTGATTTTCTACACCCGTATGCATGTCTGTAACAAAACTTCACATATTTAGTACAAGAAGTATTAATTTCCTTCGTCATACCTAATAAAAGTCGACCATTCAGTATTTTGCCGTTGTTGATATATTTGAAGTTTAACTGGCAAAAGCCACGAGATACCTACATTTATTTCTCTTACGGTTACTTGGCTGTGCGATACTTCTTTCAATGCGTGGGTTGCGATTCGTTTGTTAAGACAAATGGCGCAGCCCACAACTGCTGAGTTGGAAAGCAAAGCATTCACACTAGGACAAAAGAGGCGCGCGTAGTTTGACTCAGGGCAGCATAACATAAACTTTATTGACGATCAAAAAGGTTTTGTTAAGTAAGAATATCTAGTCTGTAGCAGTATACTGCTGCAGAGTTGTGAGGCACTTGCTGCTTCTCGAACAGTACCAGAAAAAAAGCTGACCATTTCCAAGGTACAAGCGCTATGGAGCGCTGGTGCATGGCCGAATGATCTTCTAGAATAATTATAACATAACGCCTATGATACCGATATTATAATAAACTTATTTAGATATGTTGCTCAATTAGCTTGGGCGATACTAAATGAGGGAAGTATTGTCTGCCATAACTTTCAAGACTCTGAGAGTCACATCTATCTTATTATGCATGACAAACACATGATGATGTGCTTGCTCTTTTCCTTGTCCTGCAGAAATGGACGATCCGGTCAGAAAATCCTACTCGTAGGCAGAATAATTCACCGATTTCGCTTATGGCTTTGGCAGGCTTACGAGCACGTGTTTGGCCTCCATGCACAGACTAACCACATATAGAGCAGATTGGTATTGCTTTTGCAATTCACTAGGTGACATACAGGTTGGGAGGCTATGAATTTGAAACGGTAACTAGTGCCATGTCAGTCGCGCTTTAATCTCAGTCTACAGCTAAGTGACAGATCCGAAACACTATTTTGATGGAAGAATACATAGTTTATTCCGAAAACCTGTGCACCTTAACGGTATAGGTGAACGATCAGTTGTTGTTTCTGGATGTGTTTTAAATCAGTCATCTAAAGCCGAAATAAGCAGGAACGAAATAGTATAGGGATTTTAACTATTGTAATAAATGATGTCATGCATCGTTAACGCTACTGATCTTAACCTGTAAACTATTGCTTTTTATTAAATAGCAAAGTAATTCAACACGAGTGACCGACAACGTGCCAATGCGTGACAGATTTGTTTACCTCTGCCGGTCCCAGTGAATGGTTTTAGTCACTTATCAGCTGTTCAAAATATGTTGAGCATAACTTGCTATACTCAGTGCTATTGCGCCAAGACGCATTGAAACCGATTTAGATCCAGCGCGGACGGTATTTGATACCAGGAAAAATGCACTCATCGCATTCATGGACGTTGTGTAAACGAAATGTGTCTCACTGAGACAGTCAAGTCGGGCACTCAGTTCACTCGAGCATACTCCATTCGGCGGTCACTTATACTTCGGAAGTAGTATGCAGAATGTCGCCAACTTTGAACGGGTTTACCTAAAATCGTCGTTCAGCTTTTTAGTCAGACTAATAGCTGATGAGTATATCAGCAGAATGAATGAGCGCAGGAAATTACATTATATTTGCTTGCTTTGCTATGAAATGTTAAATGAAAATATTGCATGCGAATTTGCTTGCTATTACTTCACTTTGCTCTCTGTTGATTGCATCGTTTCACCATGGGATTAGTTTTTACTGCAACCGACAAAACGTTTTATAACTGTTGGATTTTGATAAAAGGTAGATACTTATACTTTGAAATACTGTCTCATGTTTCGCAGTTGATCAATATATCACCTAACCATGGTAATCGTTCGTTTTGTGGAGGAACAAGAGAAACCTGTGCCATGTTAGATTTCAGTGCCAGATTCTCGGATTACAGATATATGGATCGCGTCGCGGCCAAATAGTACACGATGCAGTTGTAATATTCCTCGACCTGCAGGCATCATTGAGGTGATTTCGCGCACGTATCCTATCTAACTACGATGGAGCAACACAGATGCATTTTTTCCAGCCATCTATTTTCATTATTCAACCAGCGTAACCAGCTAGATCACATATGTTTGACAAGTGAAATTGCTTTCTTTTTCCCTTTATATTCCGATAACAGAACCGCAACACAATCCTCGTGGGAGACTACTATGTGTGTGCCCTTACACGACACAAAATTTCTCAGCGGCAACGGAATAATTTTGGAAAAGCAGGCTAGCCTAGGTGGTTTTACCTGCAAACTTCCGAAATTGGAAAGTTACACAGATCAATCATGTATCAGTCGAGAGATTCCATCATTCAAACAACGGACTGCTTGTGACATTATCGTTCGTAATCTTCCATCGGAAATGTCTCAAACTGTCACATCTGCCGTCGCAAAAGCACAGTCGCTTCCAAGGGCAAGTACCTCTCCGTGACTAGTTTGTTTATAAATGGTCACATTTCTACTACAGTTTTCCTCTACCTATTACTTCCGTAAACACAGGCTTACACAAATGCTTTCAGATGGATGTCGGACGACGAATGCCTACAAAACAACGTGATGAAAATGATCACATTGGAAAAAGCAAAATTGGAAGAATGTTTACTCGTGAAGGGTTTTTTGGAAAGCATCAATTTTCTCAACTTTTTGGATTTGAAGGCAGAAGAAAGACAAACCCAGCTTTCATACCAGTTAAAAATAGGGTAATTATAAATCGCTTTTACGTTGAAACAATTAATTTACGAGGAAACTTTTAGCAAGAAAACTAAACACAAGAATGCCGCAGGATTTAAGTCCAGAAAATTTTCTTTGCTTTTACATTGATCAAATTACGCGTCTATGGGCGTACAGCGTTTTGTTATTTAATATGTCTAATCATATATTACATGATTGACTGGATGCCTTGAACCAGCAGCGTGAAATCATTGTGCATCTTCTTATAGGGACTCCCGTTAGGAGTAGTATTTACTGTTCTTTCACTCACATCGGTGGTGACAATTAAGTAGTACATTGAGACACAGATACTCCTGTGCCATCATCTTTCTGTACAGGTATATGGTCCATCCAGGCATTTGTAAAACGGACACGGAGGCAGCATTAACATGTAATCGATGTATTTCTTTGCATACATATTATTTGTTTTGTATACCTCTGTTTATACAGTCTTAGCTGTTGGGGAGTTGGTGCTGAACCATGTATTGATTTAGTCTGCAAGATAAAGCAACTTCGCGCTGCTTTATTATATACACTCAGTTTATTCTTTGTGTGACATGAGTGGGTATTATAAGCTCTTTTGCTTGCCACCCGGATAACTTCACCCATCAAGTTTTGGGAAAACTATACCTATAACGTACAAGTTCCTCATCATGGTGTAAGCTAAAGCAGTGTCATATCTACTAACTCTGACTTGTCAGCTAGTTGCCGAATCGTCTGCACGCCTGACTTGCAATCATAAGGTCACCGGTTCGAATCGGCATTGGGGCGGGTCTCCTCTAGGTATATTCAACTCACGGGTGACTGGTGGTAATCGCGCGGCCGCGAAGCACCGTTACGGCGCACTACTGACACTATTATTATTATTATTATTATTATTTTGACTTGCCTCCTACAAAACAGCGTTTCAGTAAGCATGAATAGGGACAATCCTGAGGCTAATGACCGCTTTAAACAAAATTTTTGTCACCAAAAATAATTAAATTACTGTTATAAGCCCTGACATTCTCCAAACATGCTCCTTCTACAAAAGTTTCCCTGGTAATAAGCGCAAATAGGACAGATGAGAGTCTTATACTTTTGCACAGTCTATCGAGGCACCCATCGACACACCTCCATATAGATATGTATTCAGATGCCAAAATATAAACGTTTTTAAGTGACTATAGACCTCCTCTCTAGTGATAGCCATCAGCACTTCCGTTAATTCAGCTTTCTAGCTTAGTTGCTGGCGGGACACCTTTTTCTTTTCGTTGCACTACATTCAGTCAGTTACAGTGTATCGATATAGGATTAGTTATTATTTCTAAACTGTACATCTCTTCATATCTCCGATCCCTTTACCAACATTTCGGCATCGACGGAAGAAATCTCATGGTTTCACTACTTTGTCCGACGGAAATCCATCGACAGAACTTCTTCTTTCAAACAACCCATCTAAGACACTGCTTACTTGCTTAGCAGGAATCAGGGTAAACGTTTTGTTTTCAAATCATTCAGCTGAATCGTTATAATTGACTTAAATGGATCTGGATGGAATTAAATTATGCGAAACCTTGACTACTTGAGTGACATTCAACACTAGACGTCTAAATGATAAACCAATGTCAAATTTCAAATACCCCGGTAACTATTGTGACAATCTTAATCTTTTGCTGTGTGACAATTTTACTAGTCAAATTAGCACAATATTCTTGTTTAGGTCGAATGAGAGCATTGTGTATCATTTAACAAAATTAACTATTTGAGTAGTTATTTGCTATGTCCACCATCTGTACAAATGTCTTTGATAATTTCGGAATGTTATTCTGATGTAAATTATCTGGGTTTCTATTCCTTTTATTCAGTTGGAAATAATATGTACAAAAGTTCATATGACAAACATATATGCAACTGCCTCTTTAAACGAATTCCGTGTGTCGTATTCTGTCACTCTATGGGTGTATCTCAAGTGACCGTGTGCTCCTGACACACATGTTATTCGAGGTTAGTATCTCACACCTACATCTTCTACATGAATGCCGGGCCTTAGCTCAGTGATGCTATTTGGTAACATTTTAGTCTCACTGAGCTTTTGAGATGTTTGATAAATCCTTCTGAGCAGTGTAACAATTTTACACTTCACTAGATACTCGAAATTGAAACCCGACAATGGTTATGTTACTAATGAGTAGGAGGATTTGTAATTGTAATATTTTCGTCCCAGCTGCTAACAAACTATATTTCACAGCCTGGTGCGGAAAAGCATCAGATGCGTTTCGGTCTATTGGGCCTCATCAGTGGTGCGCATTCTCTCGATTCCCTACTAAAGATCGAACCTATGACCGCTAGAGGCAAATGCCAACTAGCCAGCAGCTTAAGCTACTGATCCACGGGGGACGTCGGCTGAACTACACAATTTGCAAGCTAACTGGTATATAGCGCGACCTATCTTCCACTATCACACAGGTTACTATCTTAACAGATGACAGTGTCTAGCCTCCGAAGGTCATGATATCCTCTCACTAGGCGCTATGTCCATAGCTTGTGAAACTAGGAGAGGCTACCTTTTATATTACTGATTAGTGAGATTTTTTGATTGTAATTGTACTGTTTTCGTCCCAGTTACTCACAAGCTACATACCACAGCCTAGTCCGGAAAAGCATCAGACGCGTTTCGCTCTATTAGGGCTCTTCAATGGTGCGTATTCCTTCGGTCCCCTACTCAGGACATTAGTGAAATAAAATGTAGTCTATCTTAGTTTCAAATGCAGTGGACGTAGCGTCTAGTGAGAAAAAGTCATGTGCTAGTAACCTGCTAGGTACTGGTAGATAGGTCGTGCTATATCCCAGTTAGCATGCAAATTGTGTATTCAAGCCGACGTCCCCCGTGGATCAATAGCTTAAGCTGCTGGCTACTTTGTATCTGCCTCTAGCGGTCATGAGTTCGATCCCCAGTCGGGGACCGAGGGAATATACACCACTGACGAGTCTCAGTAAGGCGAAAAGCGTCTGGTACTTTTCTGGACTAGGCTGTGCTATGTAGCTTGTCAGCAACCGAGAGAAACACTAAAATTGTTATGTTCTTGTACACCCATACTACTTTCTATCCTGTAGACAGGATTGCATTGCAAATTATCTGTTGACGAATGGCGGCCAGAAGAACGATGCCATTTCTACCCATTTCTCTTCACTTTTGCCATTGAGGATGCCCTCCAAAATGCTCTGGATGATTTGTTGAGTGCTGTCGTTGTGCTTTCCCAGGTAGTCAACTTATTGCTTCGAACTACGCTGCTAAAATCATCTTGCTGGATGACGGTCTAGAGGCCGTCCAAGTTGCACATATCTCCTTGTCAGTTGATGCATCATAGGATGAGATGGCTTTTTCCCCATCCAAGTGCAAAGCCCTTTTACAAGAATTTCAGCTGCCTGTATATGCACTCACGCTTGGTGGTGAGACACTGGAGATTGTAGAGAGCTTTGTCTACCTGAGAATCTGCATCATTACCAGTGGAGCTGTTGAGGAATAGATTTCGATTCGTACCTCAAGATATCGTTTCACTTTCTCCAAGCTGATACACTTGTGGCGCCGGCAAGATTTCCGTCTATCCATCAAATGGCGGGTTTATTGTGCGACTGTCCGCGCAGTACTTTTATACGGTTGCAAGACGGCCTATTCTTACCGTTGACCTGCGGCTACTGCCAGTCTTTGAACGCAGTTTGTTTGCAGTCAATTGCCCGCGTGTGGTGGCGGCACCACACAACCAATGTGGAAGATAGACGGCATGTCTTGGATGGAAACAATCAATTCCTCAAGGAGCTCGTCCCGATGCTTCCGCTGTAGTGGCCTATACATGTATTGCGCATGCTCGCTCATCGTTTTCCGAGTCGTGCAGCGTTCGCGGTTGCTGGACATGGCTATAGAAGGAAACGCTGTGAACAGCCTACAAATTGGCGAAGCAGCATGGAAAGGTTAACGCGACAGCTGGCCTCGGTCGGTTGTTCTTGACTCCTTGCTTGGGACCCCAGAGACGCGAAGTGTCACTGACTGCAGACCCAAAAGTCCATAGCTCAAGATCGACGTTAGTGGCAGTCGTGTAGCTGTGCGCCTTTGTTAATTCTTTTTCTATCCACTAATGAAACAAACAACTAAAATATTGTGGGCGGGTAACAGAACATAGAGGTCGCTTGTATTTTCTTCTTATTTTTATCCTGTGTTCTTTATCCGCCATGATTTGGGTGGCAAAGTATGTCTGCGAATTATTATTATATATATATATATATACATTTGGTTAGAAAAACTTGGTCTCCCAGGTTGGAAGTTATAATTGTCTTTGATCTCACCAGGTAAAGATAGCAGTCCATGAACCCGGTAGAGGTCGCAACTCAAATCCCAATGGTGCCTGGTTCAAAGACTGCTATCTTAAAGTCTAATGTGATCAAATAAGATCGAAAGGCGTCTTGGTGTACAGGGTTTTCGGGCAGGCAATACTCAAATTTCATGTGCATCAACTAAGGTTATAGTGATCGAACTGACCAAGGTTGGTTTCAGTGAAGAACACGGTCCAGAATTAAGACTGCGCATTGCAAACCAACCACACAACGTGTTGCAAAATACCTCTCCATTAAGTCTCTTATAGTTCTAATGAGTTCGGATCCATGACATACCCCTGATTACTTAGTGACTGGAGTCACCGAGCTATGAGTACTGGCAGCTGAACATCAGAAATGTCTATTAACTGTTATATAACGCGGGTTATTTTTCACTGTCATTCATCTTATGAGAGTGTAGATTATAGGGATGCCCACCAGGTTTACAACTTTCATTGCAAACTGCAACCAATCGAAACGGCACACCAGCTACAGTCATTTGCTGATTACCAACTCGCAGTAAAGGGTCTTGGGGTTTTACTGGAGGTTTGTTGCAGCCAGGCACAAGTAGGTAGCTACTACATATCCAGAAAAGCAATGAAATATCATTTCGTGTTACTGAGGCTTATCATCCTCATTAGTACACGTTAGTTGGAGGTGGAGAACACCTCAGCTATTGTGCCGCAATACAAAAGACAAGAAAAGGAAAATAGAGACACGCCCGCTGAGTCTCCAGTAACGGATGGACATCGTTCCGGAGAGTTAACAGCTGGCTGCCGTAAAAGAGAATCATATTATGCCTAACAAGTGAGATCGTGATTGGAGGGGGATGCTAAACAGGAGGGGGATGGACAAAGGAACTCACAACACAAACGCCATTGGAGCCGGCTCCAAGCCATATCAGCAAGTGTGTCCAAACAAACATGTTCACAGTCCTTATGACCCCAGCCAGGCAGTCGGGATGCACCAAACGACACCAACTTCGAAGTGAGGGTTTTCCTTTCTCTCGACAAAGTCATCACTTGGCCTCCTGTCCTCCTCTTCCAACCGCACCCACAACGCGCAAACAATGCACGTCGCGGGAGTCGATGTGCTAGCATGCGCAACACGTGGCCCAGCCATTGGAGCCGGATGTTTGAAATACCGGTGCTGAGCGGTTCACTCGCTCTTCCTGTGCCAAATGCACGACGTCGAACACGCTCATTGCTCACGCGGTGTTCCCACCAGACATGAGCTAAGCTGCGAAGGCAGCGATGATCTAACGTGACGAGCCTCTTCATGTCTATCGACGTGATGGGTCAGGTTTCGAAGCCATATAGGAGAGTTGAACGTACGGCTGCTTTGTAAACTCTGCCCTTGAGGGCGAGAGTAATTTCGCGTCTGCGCCATAGGTGGCGGAGATTGGCAGAAGCACCCCGAGCTATTGCTATACGGTTCGTAACCTCATCTTCAATCCCACGGGTGCTAATATAGATGCCCAGGTACTTGAATTACTGAACGACTTCTAGCAGATCACCACAAAGCGTTAGCTCAGGGTTGGGTCCCTGCCAATCTTGGAGAAGTACTTTGCCTTTCGATGGCGCAAAGCACAGCCCAAAACGATTGACAGCCAGTGCTAATCGGTCCAGTGCTGTTTGGCATGTTTGGGAGCTGTCACAGATTGGGGCAATATCGTCCGCATACTCCAAGTCAAGAAGTCGCTCATCAGGAAATAGCCCCACACCTTCTAGGTCGTGTCCAGAGAACGCTGTTTCCATGATGATGGATGGGTTTGCTTTCTACCAGCTACTGCTACTTCACTGCTATCAATCCCGCACTGAGGATGCCACCTCGAATGGTGGCGAAACGTCTGCAACCAAGTTGCCCAGCTCGGAGAACTCCACAACAACTGAGCTGTTTCCATGACTTCATCAATAGCGAAGTTGAAGAGGAAAGGTGACAGCGGGCATCCTTGTCTCACACCGCCGGTGATACTGAGGGGTGGCGACAGTTTGCCATAAACCCTCACCCTGCCCGAACCATGCGCATACAGCGCTTTGATAATGTTTGCGTATTTATCAGGCACACTTTTCCTCAGCAGACAGTCCCAAAGGGCACATCTATCGACTGAG